GTTAACGTCGACCTGTACGATACACTAGAGGCGAACCCTAGATACCAACATGACGTCACAGGGATGGTGCATTAGCTTTGATTAGAAGTTTCTGTATTACAGCACATGGTCTTTGGGGGTTCACACTGAACATCATTCTGACCCAAAGTCGTGAACGCAGGAGGTGAGGTGGGGTTGAAATGGGGTTTAACGTCGCTTCCAAGATTATTGCACTTATATAGCGACGTGTATGCACGTGTGTGTGTGTGTGTGACTGCTTGTACTAGTCCGGACTGATGCCGATTTATAGTGGTAGCCCGCTGAGATACCATGCCAGAGTTTAACATGAATACCCCACTCAGACACAGTATACTGACTCCGGGCCGACCAGTCCTTGTTTTAGCCCCTTAATGCCGAGCGCCAGACAGGGTAACAACAAGTACCATCTTTTAACGCTTTTTGGTGTGACGCGGCCGGGGATCGAACCCCGGACCTTCCGCTCTCCGGGCGGACGCTCTACCACTAGACCGTGAACGCAGGAAAACAGGCCTTTTACACCAATGAAGTAATCCAATACGATGCACGCAGTCTCTGACAAAATACCAACTACATATACTAAAGTAGGGTATCATGAAATGTACATTTCAACAACAAGTATTAGAACAACAAAGATAGCACATCCTATTATTCGCATGTGCCGCACGCAGTAGCACCGACTATATTGACATGCTGGAAACTGGCTGAAGTCAGCATACAGCATCTTCCCGAAGCAAGGGAGTTAACTGGCTATAAAAGCCCCTTGCTGCGGGAAGATGGCATACAGTGTCAAATACGTTCAATTGTTCTGTGATTTGTAGTCTATGGAACAGGTACCAACAAACCCAACATGTAGACGATCAGCCTCGTTCAGGACATCCCAGGTCAACGACAACCCAGGCTCTACGACATCGAGCTCAAACGGCAAATCCAATTGCTGCAAACGTTAATCAGTTTACTTGGGTACGAGTTACGTGTCAGACGATTAGGAATCGTCAACATGCAGCTCATCTCCAGGCTCGACGGCCACGTTTTGTGCCGCCCATTGCTAATCGTCATATTGCCAACAGACGTCATTGGTCATACTATACACAAGGTCGAAACTTGAGTAATTGTCGTTGGTCTGTTGTCAACTTTTCAGGTGAGTCCTGATTCACTTTGCACTTCCTTCATAGGCGTAGTCGTGTCCGGCGACGTCGACATGAACGTCAAGCCAATGTCAACCTCAGACCCGGTGACAGATTTGGCGGTGGATCGGTAATGGTGTGGGGTGGCATCAATGCGACTGGCCGAACCCCACTCCATATTGTGCAAGGAAGGGTCACTGGACAGCACTATCGGGACAACATACTGACACCCTTTGTTGTCCCGTTTGCAAGGTGTGTGGGTCGACGTTGTCTTTCGGGACGACAATCTCGTGCTCGCCTTGCACGAAGAGTCAATGCTCACCTCCAGTAGTACAACATCCATAGAACTGGAGAATGCTATGGCCAGCAATGAGCCCAGACCCTTCACACTTTGAACAAGTCTGGGACATGATATGGAGACGTGTCCGTCAACCTCATGGGCTGCCGACCACGTTGGCTGAACTTGGCCAGGAATCTTCGACTGAAATAATGTTTGACAAATCGTGGCGGTATTATGCACTACTGATAAAAAAACCGCGAACTTTGAAATTTCTTAACCCTATTGCCCAAGATTGACCTCTAGTCCCAGAAATAAAGTTATTTATATAAAATATATATATATCTACAAAATAAAAAGAATAAAATCTAAAAGGAGCGCAGAACTATCCCTAATTTCCTTGAGCTGAAGCAATCTAGACTTGCAAAATCATTAGCGGCCATTACATCTACTGCTACACATCTTCCCGAGGCAAGTGAGTTAACTGACTTTAAAAGTCCAGTTTCCACCCTTGCCGAACTAGGCTGGAATTCCTGGGCTCGGTCGTAGCGCCACGAGTGGCTATTACGAGTTATGTCCTTTCTATGCCTCTCCCATTGACCAATCAGATTCAACCTCTCGTATCACTTTCATTTGCTTCAAACAAAACAGTGGCGCCCAGTCAAGACGATCTGATTGATAATCAAGATCTATATTGTGTTAAAACGAGTCTTACATCGCGAAGTGCATCAAATCACGTGAGCAACTTGATTAAAAGCATGAAAAGATTTAGAAAATATCTGTTGACAACGAGTTAGCGGTGCACATGCTTTGCAAATCCTGCAGTCGACCGAAATCTGCATGACATTTTAGGACCCGGATTTCGATTTCAGTGCGCGATTTTGATTGGACTATGCATAGACTCGTTAGTCCAGCCAAAATGTAACTCCATAATACCAGCCTAGTTCGGCAAGGGTGGAAACTGGACATATTTCGAGTGTATGGAAACGATTACTTTTTTTGACGAGAAATGTATTTGGGAGACAGTGTATTAAGTAATAGAGAAAAAATGAGGAGGTAGAACAACAGATTCAAGTGATTTCTCCTACTTAAACCACGTTATGGTTGATATAAAATCGATCTATAATTTTGCATAATGACCTATAGTTGCGTCAGTTTTGTTCGTTTAAAATGCACGTTCAAAGTGGCCAGTAAAATCCTGGCTTAGAATGGACTGCAAGGACAATAGCGTGACGTCATCATAATGATTTAAATATGCTATTAAGATAACAAACGTTAATTATTTCTTTACTTAACTTCAAGTGAGTAAGTGAGTGTGGTTTTACGCAGCTTTTAGCAATATTCCAGCAATACTACGGGGCAGGATCATGTTCTTCCTTTTGTGCAAATGCAGGAACGTAAGGTCACATTGTAGCAAGACAATGCCCACCAACACGTTGCACGTGTTGTAACATACATACTGAGGTATGTACTGCCATGGCCGGCTGTTTCTCCATACCTCTCCCCATAGAACAGGGTGAAGACCCAGGGAAGAATAGGTCTTCAGCAACCAATGCTTGCTGGAAAGGCGACTATGCTTGTCGTAAGAGGCGACTAACGGAATCGGGTGGTCAGGCTCGCTGACTTGGTTGATGCATGTCATCGTATCCCAATTGCGTGGATCCATGCTCATGTTGTCAATCACTTTATTGTCTGGTCCAGACTCGATTATTTACAGACCGCCGTCATATAGCTGGAATATTGCTGAGTGCGGCGTTAAACAACTTACAAAAACAACAACATAAAAACTGTTTGACGGGCATTTTTTTGAGTTGGTAAGTTACAGTAAAGACAATATATTTTATGGATGAGTACTTCGTTATACTATTATGATGCAATGGTTCGTTATAGATCCTTATACGGTTGCTTGTCATCCATAACATGTCTTATAGCTGCAATAGTGTGAAACAACAAACAAACCCAAATGTACGGCGATATTTTCTGAGTAGGTATTAGACCGCCTCCGTGTCTGATGTGTGCGTCCGCCCGGAGAGCGGAAGGCCCGGGGTTCGAGCCCCAGCCGCGTCATACCAAAAGACGTTAAAAGATGGTACTTGTTGTTACCCTGTCTGGCGCTTGGCATTAAGGGGCTAAAACAAGGACTTGTCAGCTCGGAGTCAGTATACCTTGTCTGAATGGGGTATTCATGTTAAACTGCGGCATGGTATCTCAGTGTGCTAGCACTATAAATCGGCATCAGTCCGGACTAGTACAAGCAGCCACACACACACATACACATGCATGCACGTCGCTATATAAGTGCAATAATCTTGGACGCGACGTTAAACCCAATTTCACCTCACCTCACCTCACCTCACCTCACCCTAGTAAGTATTAAGTAAGTGAGAACGAGGGAAATATCATAGGAAATTTACACAAGAATAACATATAAGAATATAATGTAGAATGCATGACACTATATTACAGAATGTGCTTGAGTTTGTATTTGTGTAGAGTAGAATTGCAGGGAAATCAATGTGCTAGTGATCACTGGACAGTTTCAGTTCAAACTAGTTCTGGTTTTAGCGGGTACTACTGTTCTGGATTTCTGGTCCATCACTTGATTGTCTGGTTTGTTTACATGCCACCGTGGCATGCAAGGAGTAATGCAATGCGGTGTCAGGCAAAAAACAGATATATTTTATGCAAATTGCGCATACCCTTTTCGCAACCACCTGGTGTCAACAATGATTTTCAGTGATCCATTCATATAAGTATCGCCAGTATTTAGCAATATACTCCAAATGGAATCCGTTTCGTCGGAAAATTCTCTTGCACTGACGTTTGATATTAATTTTATATTTACACATTTTTGTCGTTGTTTTCTCAAAGTTGTGTGGTCTTCTATTTATTTAACCTAAAAGCTGAATTAGCACTGTTTGAAACAATAAATTCGAATTTCATTCAAAACAATATTCAGTAAACTACGTTTAAAATGAACACGCTTGACGGATATAACGAACTGGTTTTTTTGTCCCGGCAATTTGCTGTATATATGCTGTATACCTGCTTATAACGAACTATGGTTATAATGAACTAGGATTTAATACTCCCTTTGAGTTCGTTGTAACCGTAGTTTACTGTAATTCTTACATCAGAAACCTGTCACAAGCCGAAACCATTGAAGACTGTTTACATCGGGTCACAACGCGAATTCGGCTCTAGTTGGAAAAGGAGGGGAGCCGTCCAAATGCAGTTTGATTAAAATATTATTTTTCTAATCAATCTTAAAGAAAAGTTTATGGGACCATAGGTGCCAACATGTGGGTGGTCCAAGCGATGTCAACACCTCTATAAACAGGAGATTTCAAAGGGAGATAATCTCTGAGAAGAGGGAATCCTGGAATGGTCAGCAAGAAGATTGGCAGAAGCAGATCGTCCAAGAGTCCAACTATATTAGCAGCAAATCCTGAGCTGATCTGAGACAAACCACCCCACGCACAACCTAAGCATGTCACAATACCTAGCGCATAATCAATGCAAATTCTTTCCCAATTTCGACGTTCACTCCAGTACAGCCATTCCCTATTCTTTGCCGTTAATCCCCGCTGATAATTGCCTGTCAACGTATAAATGACTCGGCAGAGACAGTTCTATCTCTTAGCTTTAAATCTCCCACCGGCAGAAGTCTATACGGTAGCGAGCGTTCCGAGACGTGTATCCCCTTACACACGAAACTAGGTAAGATGCTTTCATTATTTTTCAATAGTGCCTTGTATGCGAGTCCGTTTCAAGTGCTAGATATTTTATGCTTTGGTTGAAGTTTACACGTTGTTAGCGTCTCAATCCTGTTCACGTTGGTCTTAAATAGTGCGACTGATTTGCTTGTACTTCAAAGAGTGTATAAAAGTGATGTTATAACATTTGCGAATTATGATTTCCACGACAGCAGTAACCTTGTTTTTGAGTTGGATTAAGGTAGCCTCTAAGATTCTTTAGTTTTGCGCGAGAAATATTCACATTTCATATGCTATTGTAACCCGGAATCCCCAACGGGGTGATGGAAGTGTAAGTGTAAGCCACTGTATTAACTACATTATATGGTTATTAGGTTACGAAGGCATTTTACATTCACTAAAATGATCATTAGAGCGAGCTGGGTTTAACGCCGCTTTTAACAGTATTCCGGTTATATCCCGGCGTGTCAGCTTAATGTGGGAGGAAAGCCCGAAGTGATGCAGATCTTTGGTGAAACCCACGAGAACGATAAACCTAGAAACATAATCGGGGCGAAACGATCATTAAAGCTGATTTTTCCAAAGTTGGGTTCACATAGACAACGAGCTATTGGTCACACAGCCAATAGGCAAAACGTATATTGATTAGTAGATCACCAATTGTTGGCTTAGGGTTAGATATCTCGTTTTGACATTAGTCTGTATCCAAATTTATTTTATTAACGGCAAAAACGTGACACGATTTATGGATATTATGGGTCGCCAAAACGCAGCTTAACACACATGGAACAACGTCCCGAATGCTTTCCATGAAAATCAAAATTAATTTGCGTGCCATTGTGCCATTTCTGATAAACGGTATCTCAATATGTAGATCCAATATTCTTGTATCGATACTAGCACCACGCCAAGACTTACGAAGAATCAGAGAAACCACACGTTAGGACGACTGCATGCTTGTCAGATTGCATGAATGGCGGCGAAGTCTACAGATTTCAGCAATGACACTAGCAGGTCACCAACAGCATGCAGTCGTCTTAACAGTGGCACGTGTCTATTTTTTAAATGAAATGAAGCTGTGCATAACGGAGGTTACGAAACTCCTTATCCGTGCATGAACGTCATGCGAACCCTACCGTTGTCTGACGGACAGACGCTTCATCCACTTAACTACGGAGTTTGTTCACGGGTGATGGAAGAGTTAGTGAGTAGGAGTTGTTTAACGCCGCTTTGAACAGCATTCCAGTTATATCACAGCGTGTCAGCTTGATGTGGGAAAAAAAACTCGAAATGGTACAGGTCTTAGACGTTTACCATTTTGGGGAATCCCATGAGCACAGGCACGGAGCTGACAAACCTTGAAACATAAACGGGACGAGCCGGGATACGAACCCACGATCACAGGTTTCTGGCATGCCCAAGGGACGCAACTCTGCACAGCGAATTGCGGCGCCTTAGACGCCTGTGTCACCCGTTCCCCAAGGTGATGTGTACACAAACCATTGAAGTACTGACGAAGGTAAATAATCGAGACAGACCATTTGTTGATAGCATGATCAACGATCCACATTGTCTGGACACGATGATGACAGTCAGTCGAAAATGATTATTCTCTGGCTTCGATATTTTATATTGTCATGTTTACTTCATGAAACCTTCTCTTTAAATGTCTTTGTTGTTTATATTAATCTTAAACATATAAACATTTATGAAATATGTAAACATATAAACATGTATGATGAATGTAAACACAAACACATTTGTTATCAGTTTCACGGGTTATTATTATTTGCATGTCGACATTACAGGAAGTACAGTTCTATAACGCGTATAGTGCCGTCCCGTAACCATCCCACTGACCATCTTCCTGAGGCAAGGAAGTTAACTGACTTTAAAAGTCCAGTTTCCACCCTTTCCGAACTGGGCTGCAATTCCGTGGCTCGATCGTAGCGCCACTAGTGGCTAATACGAGTTATGTCCCTTTATATCCCTCCTATTGACCAATCTAATTCCACCTCTCATATTACTTGCATTTGCTTCAAACAAAATGGCGACGCCCAGTCAAGGCGGTCTGGTCGATAATAAAGATCTATATTGTTATAAAGCGGGTCTTTCCAGCGAAATGCATCAAATTTCTTGAGCACCTTGATTTAAAACATGAAAAGATTGAGAAAATATCTGTAAAAGCCCAGTTGACGGTACAAATACTTTGCAAATCCTGCAATCGACCTAAATCTGCACGGCAGTTTACGCACCGGATGTTGATTTCGTTACGCGATTACAGGGATTCTGTAGTTCTTCAGGTACAGCTGCGAATCCAGATATTTTTTTAATAGACAACTTAACTTTTTTCGATAAGATCCCGGTCGGCCCCTATGTGGCTGCGTATTGTGATTCTTATCCAAGCATCATTCTCTGTCCATCGGAGCCCGGTTGAGTGTGTGCCATCATACTGCAACAGCTAAAATTGTAGTTTATGTTATCAATCACTGGTTTAGATGGCAAAGATTCGATTATTTGCGACTATGCTTGTCGTAAGGGGCGACTCACGGGATCGGATGGTCAGCCTCGCTGACTTGGATGATACATGTCATTGCATCCCAAATCCCAATTGCGTGAATCGATGCTCATGATGTCAATCACTGAATTGTCTGTTCAAGACTCGATTATTTACAGACCGCCGTCATAAAGCTGGAATACTGCTAAGTGTGGCGTTAAACAACAAACAAACAAACACTTTTATACATGCAATTATGCATGTGTCATTGTACAATTTAATGAACATTCTGTGGGGGTGCTGTTCAGTCTTAAACCTTGTATGATCTTTTCAATCTTATGTCATATTGGCGAAAATAGGAAAACGAAACCAGGTGAGCTACAGAGCGTTGTGGCTATATTAATATTTTTCGTCGTAAAAGGCTCTGTGCCTTAGCTGACTGAATCCCATTGTGATTTGATTCACTGAGTCTACAGGGTCCTAACACTCGACAATATACAGGCCGCCGTTTTTAATTATCGCTTGAATATTGCTTACACCAGTGTGAAACAACAGTCATTCACTCCCGGCTGTGTGTCTCCCTATGTTAAATGACCGCCTCCGTGGTCTAGTGGTAGAGCGTCCGCCCGGAGAACGGAAGGTCCGGGGTTCGATCCCCGACCGCGTCATACCAAAAGACGTTAAAAGATGGTACTTGTTGTTACCCTGTCTGGCGCTCGGCATTAAGGGGGTAAAACAACGACTAGTCGGCTCGGAGTCAGTATACTGTGCCTGAGTGGGGTATTCATGTTAAACTGCGGCATTGTATCTCAGTGAGCTAGCACTATAAATCGGCATCAGTCCGGACTAGTACAAGCAGCCACACACACACACACGTGCATGCACGTCGCTATATAAGTGCAATAATCTTGGACGCGACGTTAAACCCAATTTCACCCCACCTCACCTCACCTCACCCTATGTTAAATACACGGTTACTTAATCTCCGACAACATCAACATGTCTACATTTATTCCAACAGTTTACTTTTTCAAGATCGCAATCGATTAACTCTAGAGTGAATGAGTGAGTATATGTTCATGCCGCTTTTAGCAATATTCAATTACAGTCTTGACAGTCATGATTTTTTTTTAGATCGGACCGGCGGACTGTGTGTCATCGTACATAGAGCTTAGTTTGTAGCTCATACTATCAATCACGGGTTTACATGGCTAAGACGTGTTGATTACCCAGACAACCCAGTCGTTGATATATCGAACATCTCAGACGTCGGGGTACAATCACACGCAGTTTACCAAGTCAGCGAGCCCGATACAATATTAAGTCGCGTCTTACCACAATCTTAGGTTAATACCGAGGTTCGATTCTAATCCGGGAGAGTTGGAAAGTGGCTGCCTTGGGCGTAAAACACACCTCACTCACTCACTCACTCACGCAGAGAATAGAAAAGGAACGTACATCTGTATATATAAAGAGAGCATGGTGATTAATATTCTTGTATGTGTTTCAGCGGCCGCCATGCTGCCGAACTGGCTTTTCCTGTGCGGCGTAGGACTTATCTGTCTGGGCTGGGCACTTGCCGAAGAGAACGAGTTCTCCGACAATCTCCATACATACAACGAGGAGGATTACGACCCTGATGAGGAGTTCGATAAACGAGGCTTCGGCGACAAGCGTGGCTTCGGCGATAAAAGAGGTTTTGGAGACAAAAGGGGTTTCGGAGATAAAAGAGGATTCGGCGACAAACGAGGATTCGGCGACAAACGAGGATTCGGCGACAAAAGAGGTTTCGGCGACAAAAGGGGTTTCGGCGACAAGAGGGTCCCTAGTGAATTAAACTCCCGTCTTTTCAGCATGATATTTCGAAGCCTTGGTTACCCCGAAGGACGTAGGTTGTTAGGCAGACGTGGTCTGTTTTTATAAACTGACGTTTCACAAGACCCTTCGCTAATACTGTCATCAGAGATCAGGGGAGACAACTCAGGAACCGTAAACATTAAATACATTGAAAGTTACATTATTCGGTTACCATCATGGCTAATATGTATGCATACTGTGTACAGATGTAACCGAGAAGTTGATGTGTCTACCATGCATTTATGAAAGACGAAGCTGAACGCCACGCCGTACACTGTCAGCGGAAGCTCAATTATACAGTACTCAGCGTTCGACCAAACGACTTTATATAGTTATATCATAAAAAAATAGATCATAGCGATTGAATAAAAAATATTTTTTACCCTAAAGTTTTTCAGTGTGTTTAAAGAGATTGGACAAATAGAGTGTGTGTTTAAAGAGATACTCTATTTGTCCAATAGCCTTTCGTTCGGGGTGGTTACCGTGGCAATCGTTTCCCCCTCAAAGCGTTCATCATTACATTGTTCTGTATGTTACTTCGCCAGTCCCATCCCAATGTGTAGGATTTGTAGCACACTTCACTGGCGGATCCAGAGGAGGGGTGCAGGATTTCATTCCGCTGTCTCGCTTGTTCAGTTCCGATGAAATAAGGAGGATATTTCATGTGTGAAGTGGAATATCATGTTCTCACATCGAGTCGACAACCGCCTGAGCGTCACATGTGGGTAGGGTCATCGTTTATATACTACAACATACACACCATCCCAAATCCACCCAGTCTTTCCGGGCTGGAACACACTCACACACACATGCATGCACGTCTCTATATAAGTGCAATAATCTACCACCCATTTCACTGCTCGTCCCCAAATACCATTCGTCACAACTCGCCCCTTTCCGTAACCTGCAAGAAGTCCGGAATAACACGAGTTGGTCACGAATGCTCCAAATACGTGTTATGTTTCTGTTATATACTTCAGTGAGACAGTTTTCATAAGTTGGGAAAAGGTATATTTCCATTGCAGTGAACATGACACTTGATAGTTCACTGCTAAAAACATATCACTTCCACCAAACCATTGTCATACAAGAGCGACATCCCCGCAAATTGTCTCCCTTTATTGCAAGTGTCTGGTCGGTACACAAACCTTCCTTTTTACGTGAGTTCCACATTGACAAGGCAAAATAATGACACATGGTCATTTAGGTAGTTAATATCGTTTCATGCCGGTTGTTATTCTCGTGAAACTGTTTTCGTTATAAACTGTAAATTCTCACTTAACTCGTCAATAGATATCCAGCGTTATTAGATAGGTCCCCCAGCTCTCAACTGCTTGTTGCAAAAGACGATTAAATTGGTTCAGGAGGTTGGCTCGGTGGCTTTGTTGATTGCGTGACATCGTAGTCCGTCGCCGTATATCATTTGTCTTGTGTTTGGCTGGCAGTTATTCGTGATAAACTCACAAATAGTATGATTTTTTGTTTTGTTTGTTGTTTAACGCCGCACTCAGCAATAGTCCAGCTATATGACGGCGGTCTGTAAATTATCGAGTCTGGACCAGACAATCCAGTGATTGACATCATGAGCATCGATCCACGCAATTGGGATTCGATGACATGCATCAACCACGTGCATCAACCGAGCCTGACCACCCGATCCCGTTAGTCGCCTCTTACGATAAGCATAGTCGCTTTTTACGGCAAGCATAGGCTGAAGACCTATTCCACCCCGGATCTTCACAGGTCACATATAGTATTAGTATTATGGCCAAGGGACACAATTCCCTTTTCCACGATATTCTCATTGCCTGATAAGACGCTCCCCTGAAGTTAAAATTACTAAATAACATGATCGAAGTAAGTAAGGAGTGAGTATGGTTTTACGCCGCATTTAGTAACATTCCAGTAACATATAGACGGGACAGTTTAAATGGACTTCAGACATTGTACCTAGGTGGGGAAATGAACCCGGATCTTTGAGGTGACGAGCGAACGCTTTATCCACTAAGCTACCCGACCGCCCCTAACATATGATGACATCTCCCTTGATGGTGTACCCTGAAGTTTAGCTTAATACATGTTTGAGGGGCGGTCGGGTAGCCTGGTGGTTTAAGCGTTCGCTCGTCACGCCGAAGACCCGGGTTCGAATCCCGACATGGGTACAATGTGTGAAGCCCATTTCTGGTGTCCCCCGCCGTGATATTGCTGGAATATTGCTAAAAGCGGCGTAAAACCATACTCACTCACTCACTAATACATGTTTGTTGATAGACGCTCGACGTGTCAAGATCTAATAACGTTTGTAAAGACACGATAGGCAATGGCGTTCCTTTAAGAACACAGTGTGAGTGAATGTATTGGTGAATGATTTTACGCCGTTGCAATATTCCAGCCATATAACGGCGGGGTTGACCGGATTTTGTACCCATGTTGTAAATCGACATCGGGTAACATGAAGTTTTGATAAAGTAAGTGAGTGAATATTATCGGATTTTGTCCGAGAATTAGTCTTCAGACTGCTGCAGAGAAAAGAAATTGTCTACCACAAAAGTTACATTGTTGCAAGTTGTTTTCATGATTAACATATTCAGGCCCACAGTTTTTATTTAAAAAAATATCTGGTTTTGCAGCTTTAGCTGAAAAAGATATCTAATCTCTATACAAAGTCCCAGCAAAATCTCCTGGTGGACGCTCCACCACAAGACCACATAGACTGTCTTCCTCATTCCTAGATATACTCTTCGAAAAAAGAAACGCAATACGGATAAAAGCGAAATTAGCGGACCAAGAGGTGCAAAATGACGAGGTTTAATGTGTTATCGCGTCAGTGACAAATTTCCCGGATCAAAATGATCACAACAAACCATAAGACGGGAAACACGTACGATTCGGAAAAACGAACCTAGTGCATTAACAAAAGGGCCATGGAGCTGCACGTACTTTACGTGCAGCAGCACTAAGAACGGTATTGTTTTTTTATTGCCTGGCCTTTGCGTCAATCGAACAGTGACAGTTCAACAACATGCCAAGATTAACATAAGTGTAAAGAAACAACGCCATAGGCCGCATGCAGGCAGGGGAATCCCGATCAACTAGTGATCGGCAAAGGTCGGGACTACCAAGAGTAACCACTCCCGCAAAAGATTGCTACATCCGACTGCGCCACCTACGTGAAAGGACGACCACACCCCAAATACTCGGACTGCGCCGACCAGACCGTACGAAACCATTTAAGAGCAGCAGGTCTTCGAGCGAGACGTCCTGTTCGACGCGTCATATTGAGTCGACAACATCGTCAACAACAACTGCATTGGTGTCAACCTCACACGACAAATCTGGCTTTGCGTTTCTTTTTTTTAAAGAGATACATAGAGGATATTTACAAATGGATATATTTACAAACATGTTTCGTCAGCTTGCTGCAATGTGACAGTTGACCGATCTCGCCTGATCATCTCCCAAGAGTGAGTGAGGTTTACTTTAACGCCGCTTTCAACAGTATTTCAGTCAGCTTGGAGTGGGAGGCAAGACGGAAGTGATGCAGGTCTCAGGCGTTTACCACTTTGGTTTAACCAACGGGGCATGGTGCCAACAAACTAAGAAACATTAAATCACGTCAAACCCGAAATTGGAACCAACTACCGAACTGGTCGAAAGCCACGTTAAAGAACATTATTATACCTAAATGTCAGAATGATGAGATCTGATTGGTCCACGTGATCTTGATGAAATACTGTGTTACCCGTCTTGGAAGGTAATAAATTTCTGAGCGGGGGAAATAATTCTCTTATACCCCGCCAAAATCATCAATGTAACAATGTATTTCTTTGGGGCAGACAATTTTCTTTCTTTTCAACAGTCTGATATAGTATATTTGTAGGGATATTTTTAAAAAATCCATTTCAAATGGCCCATCCCCAATATCTATATTCTGTTTCAAACAATGCAAAACCAAGCAAATTGTTGTTATATTTTATTCAGAGGGAACTGCATAGTCTTTTGTACATACATCAATATTTTAGTGAACTAAAGCATGACAAAGTAAAATCTCTCTTTTAGTGTGTAGCTATATAGCAAAACTAATTCCCCAAAAGCGTCGTACGAGAACTTGGTATGCTCATATCCGTTGGAGTTTGTGTTGTTGCTTCATTGCACTAAAACTTTAAACATCATTTTGGAAATATAGGCAACAGAATTGGAGAGTTTCTCGTTGGTGAGAGTAACGCCACTTCTCAAACGATCTGTGAAAGAAGGCTGCATCAGTTAGTTTTGCTGAAGTGCCATCAGCATATCACAATCAGTTCGGGCATCCCCCGTGTACGGGAGTCTGCACTGGTGGTTCATGTCGTCAAACAGCATCCCGTCCTGACACGCGGTAGCCACCAGCTGATCGCCGACACACGACCCAAAATGCGTGCAGTTAATCTTGAAGTTCACTTGTTTGAAGTCTAAACATGCAGGATTTGCTGAAAGGAAATAAACAGACAGATTAGTTTACTTTTCACGCTGCGCTTAGATATGATTTCACATGATGTGAGTGAGTTGGGTTTTAACGCCGCTTTGAACTGTATTCCCGTTATATCCCGAAGTGATGCAGGTTCGAGACGTTTACCACTTTGCTGAAGCCCACGAGCACGTGTTTGGTGCTGACAAACCAGTCACATCATCGGAGCGAACCGGGATTCGAACCCTCAACCATAGGTTTCTGGCGTGCTCATGGGACGCAACTCTGCACAGCGAATTGCGGCGCCATGATGTAAACAGATCACAGATGTGAACAGAACACGGGTGTGAAGAGAACACAGGTGTGAACAGAACAGGTGTAACCAGAACACATATGTAAACAGAACACAGATATAAACAAAACACAGATATGAACAGAACAGGTGTAAACAGAACACAGATGTGAACAGAACACAGATATAAACAAAACAGATGTGAACAGAACACAGATATAAACAAAACAGATGTGAACAGAACATGTGTAAACAGAACACAGATGTGAACAGAACAGGCGTAAACAGAACACAGATGTGAACAGAACAGGTGTGAACAGAACACAGATGTGAACAGAACACAGGTGTGAACAGAACACAGATGTGAACAGAACAGGTGTAAACAGAACACAGGTGTAAACAGAACACAGGTGTGAACAGAACACAGAGATGTAAACAGAACACAGATGTGAACAGAACAGATGTTAACAGAACACAGATGTGAACAGAACACAGGTGTGAACAGAACACAGATGTGAACAGAACAGGTGTAAACAGAACACAGGTGTAAACAGAACACAGGTGTGAACAGAACACAGAGATGTAAACAGAACACAGGTGTGAACAGAACAGATGTAAACAGAACACATGTGTGAACAGAACAAGGATGTAAA